AAACAAGATTATTACGGCCTGGAGAGAATGAGGCACTTGAGTGTAACCAGAGGGTTTGGCAGACTCACTACACTCAGAGGAAAGGCAACATGGACATTTAACCAAATTGGCACCGGTACCATCAGTATTGGAACTCTGCGCTAGCTGCTGAAGATGAGGACGGAGCATGCATGGAAATGCCCTGAGTAATGTGATGTCAATTCTTGACTCAACTCAACTCAACTTGTCCAGGTTATACCTAACTGGTCTGAACCAGCAATCCAACTATTTCTAATAAATTTGTGAAACCTGGTATGTTTCTAGTTCAGAATACAAAACAAGACGATTTACCAGTGTCAATGTAAAAAAGAAAAAAGAAACCCTAACACGGATTAAAAAAAAAAAAAAAAGACAAGGAAGAACAAATGATTTTTGTAGAAAAAAAAAAAAAAAAAATGGGTGCAAGTGTTTAAAAAGTTAGAAGATAAAAAAAAAATTAGTGAGACAATCTTCTTCAAGCTGCAGAAATGCAGGAATCGTGTTATGTTTGCCTAGTACAAAGAAGAAGAAGAAATTCATGTTGGGAAAATGTATGTTAAGCTAGTAGAAACAAGGCTGCAACCAGTGATAGAACCACAGTTGACAGTTGGGTTTCAGAAGAAAAAGAAGCTGCACAGATGCAATCTTCCCATTTAAACAGTTAATAGAAAACATCGAATATGATCAGAATTTATTTGTAGCATTTGTACAACAGGAGAAAGATTTCGACCGGGTAGATATCATCATCATCATCATCATCAGGTGCCTTGCCGACTGGCGTGGGCGATCATGCCTCTCCATATTCTGCGATCACCTGCAGCATGTATCAGTTCGTGTACCGGCACACCTCCATGCCATGCAACAAGACTGTCAAGCATCTTCTCTCGTTGTCTTCCTCTATCCCTACTTCCACAGATCTTTCTAGTGGTCACAACATGTTCTATTTTCCTTTTTCTCATAGCATGACCGAAAACTGTTGACTGTCTCCTTCTGATGTCTGTGATAAGTTGTCTTCGGGCTCTCGCCTCTTTCAAAACCTCTTGGTTGCTCTTTTTGGCTGTCCAAGGTATTCTAATCGTTCTTCTGTAAAACCACATCTCTGAGGCCTCAAGAAATTCTTTGGCCTGCCTACCGATTGTCCAGGATTCACAAACATATGTTAAAACTGGATGTATGTAGCAAGCAAGAATTTTTTTTCTATTTCTCAATGACAAGTATATATTGCACAAGATGCTTTTCATTTTATAAAATGCAGTTTTTTCCTGTCCTATTCTGTTTCTTATCTCAGTTATGCATCTTCCATTTGATGTTATCCATGTGCCCAGATACTTAAATTTCTGTACTTTTCCTAAAATAGCACCATCGACTTTTATTACACATTTAGGAATACTTCGTTTTTGATACCACCATTACTTCTATCTTCCCATTATTCAAACTGAGGCCCATTTTTCCACTTTCTAACACCACAAATTCTATCATTGCATGTAGTTCTTTCTGACTTGTTGCTATCAAGACCGTGCCATCAGCATAACGTAAAGTGTTTATATTGTGCCCACCAACCACAATTCCGGGCATATCAATTAAAGGTCTCATTATGTATATTGAAAACAAGTCAAGTAACAGTAATCCTTGTCCTACTCCCCTCTTTATGCTTTGAAATGTACCTAAACAGTTGTTAATTCTTATAGCTGCTGTTTGCTGCCAATACCTATTCTTTATTATTCGTAGATCTTTCCTATCAATGTTTAATTTTTCTAACAGTTTGATTACTTCTTCATTCTTCACACAGTCAAATGCTTTTGTATAGTCTATGAAGCACAAGTACAAATCAGTCTTTACTTCTATAGCTCTTTCTGACAATGACCATAGGATGTATACGGCATTGTTTGTACCTTTTCCTTCTACAAATCCACATTGATCATCGCTGATTTCTGGTTTAATTTTGTTTCCTATTCTTCTCATAATTATTCTCAGTAAAATCTTAGTTATGTGACATAAGACTTATTATGCGACGGTCTTCACATTTTAAAGTGCCTGGTTTCTTTGGCAGAGCTATAAATATGGATTTGAAAAGGTCATTTGGAATATACCCACTATTATAAATATCATTTAAAAGTTTAGTTATTATTTCAATTCCAAAATCTCCCAGTGCTTGGATTTCTTCCAGTAAGAATGTTGTCTGGCCCAGGTGCTTTTCCTTTCTTCATATCATGAATTGCATTCTCAACTTCTGCAGTCATTATTGGTGGACCATCATTGTTGGTCTGCAGTTCTACATCTGGTCTATTATCACCATACAATTCCCCTATATACTCTGTCCATCTGTTAATTATATTACTATGTCCCATTAATAAGTCACCATCTTTTGATTTCAAACATCCAGTGCTGTTACGTGTCATCTTTCCTGTTAACATATTTATCTGTTGGCACATGGAATGTGAGTCTTTCCTGTGATTTTCACAATCTCTGTGCACATTTGATTCATCCAGGGTTCTTTAGCCACTTTGCATTTGTTCACTATTTCTTTTTGTATTCTAGAGTATTCTTATTTATCATTCTTTTTGTTCCTTCTTTCATCCACCAACTGCAGAATTTCGGTTGACATCCATTTTTTTTGCCATGGGTTGTGGGATTGTCTCTTTTGCAGACATCTGCTGAATTGACTGACGCAACATATCCCACTGTTCATCAATAGTCTGTATAATTTCCATTGCATTATACCGGTTTTGTTCAGTGACATTGTACTGTTCCTTAAGTTTTTTATCCGTTCTAAGAATTCCTAAATTTAACTTTATGTTCTGTGGTGTTTTTCTAATGTTCTTCAGTTTTATTCTAATTTTTCCTACAACTGGAACATGGTCACTAAAGCAGTCTGCTCCTGGTCTAGTTTTTTGCTCCAACTACGCTGCTCCGGAATCTTCGTGAAATCAAAATATAATCAATCTGATTGCGGACATTATCAACAGGACTTTTCCCAGTCCACAATCTTCGAGGATGATGTTTAAACAAGGTGTTACCTATTATCATGCTGTGCGACTTAGCCCATGCTATTAATTTGTCACCTCTCACATTATTTTCTCCTAGACCATAGCCACCCGTTATGCCGTACACTTTTTCACTTCCTATTTTCGCGTTGAAATCTCCAAGTACCATTGTTACTCCACAATTTTTGCATTGATTAACAGCCATGTCTAACTCATCATAAAATGCGTCAATATCTTCCTCTGAACCATCTGCTGTTGGGGCATAAATCTGTACTAAGTTGACGTCAAACGAGCTGCCGCGAAGTTTTACTAATAGTACTCTATCTGATAATTGTCCAAAATCCTTTAACAGTTTTTGAGTTCTTTGAATCCGAAACAATACCAACTCCCTTACTATATTCCTTCCCACCCGAGTAAATAATTATGTGCTGATCTGAATACTTTTCCCCTGCTCCTGGCCATCGCATTCTACTAATTCCTAATATGTTGATGTTCATTCTCTTCATTTCCATCTTTATGTTATCCAGCTTTCCGTTTTGTACTAGTGTTCTGACATACCATGTACCAATGTTCAGGATGTTTCTACCATTTACTTTTTCTACAGTAGCTAGATGACGGTCGGGTATCACCCGTAGAACATGATGCTCCCTACCGGACGAGGTGATTCCACTGGAATCCCCATTCACGTCGTTATCTGAATATGTATTATTTTGAGGCATGATTTACTAGGAATAGTACAGCGGTGGTTTCCCTTTGACTTCCGCCGGTTTGTATATGGTTTGACTCCAACAGCCTATGTCTAAAGAGACTTACCCTGCAAGGCAGAAGGGGCGAGAGGTTACGGCGCCTCTTACTCGCCGATGGCCATGTGGTAGAGTTTTGAGGTATTTTATAGAGTTAGCTGTCCCACCAACTAACTCGCCTCCTCTCAATGACCATCACTTGTTTTGTTCCACGGCCACTTATTCAATATATCCGTGGCTAACCTCTATATCTAGAGGCCTTTCCACCATCCTCCACCTGGTGGGCGCGCCTAGTAGTATGACCGGCTCCTACCCCAGGTAATGCCGATGTCAGCAGCAAATATTATGGGGTGTCACCCTAACTATCTTGCTTACATTTCGGTCTTCGTTTGTTGTCGTATTTAGCCTTGTGTATTTTCTGTCTGTTATAGGATCAGACCATCCTCGTTGTAAAATAAGCATTGATCGTTTGGAAACAATAACTTTTTTTAAATGGGTGTATCTATTTCGTAATATGGTTTGCATAATTACAAGTTTTCCTGAACTTTCTGAATGGAATGTTTTATCAATTGGGATGTCAAATAAAAGATAGATGAGCTCACATTCTGATTTAGAATGCTCGCGGAGCCACCATTAAAGATGAAACTGTGTATGATGCCACATGTCTACATTTGAAAGACTGAACATGTCTTCATTACATGACGACCACAGTGATTTGTATTAAATTGTCTAAATTAAAATACTATTTGTTCTACAGCTTATTTATTTGTATGTGTTCATTGGTTGTGTAATAACTGTGATACGCAATTAAACTATGCATTGACTCTTCCCTTTTCAGCAAACCTAATTCACTTTTTAATTAATTAATGATTTTATAATACAGAGGAAAAGCACAGACAAAAGTATAGTACCAAATTTTCACCCACTGCTATATACAGAGGTTTTGGCATTAGGCCATTTCATGGGATGGGGTCTATCAATATGCCGAATGGTCACACAAAATCCAAACAGGCAGGTAAACACCCACCCCCCTACCTCCCAGTTATTGGAAAACTAGAAAACAAGCGTAAGTAAACATTTTAGTTTGGCTGAATTAAAAAAAAAATCACTTTTCACATGTCACTGTCTTTTGTAGAATATATAACATGTCCCTCTTATGTTCGACTGTACTGCATCTTGTTGAAAAAGAAAATGGGCTCTTTCATTTAAAAATATTTACATTCAAAAACTAACTATGTTAACATGGATTTTTCAGGCTGGTGAACAGATGCTGACAGCCGAAGAATCAACTTTCCATCACATGATTTGCGTGCGAAGTGTACCTCAGCTTCGAGAAACATTCAGTCAATACAAGAAGATTAGCGGTAACGACATTGAAGGTGCTATTGAGTCTGAGCTCAGTGGAAATCTGCAAACTGCATTCTTGGATATAAGTAAGAAGACCTCCCCGTATTGGCTTTAGCGCCCTATTATAGAAATAAAAACATAAATTAAAAAAAAGAATAGACCCACTGCCTACCCAAAAGCGTGTTGTAAGAGTTGACTAATTTTGAGCTTCCTTCGAAGTCAGAGTGCATCTGCCCGAGAGGCAAGGAACCAACAGTCTGCAAACAAATCAGTCAGGTCTGTCAAACGAATCGAATGCACACACAGCACTTAGGTTCTGGAACAGGACTGCAGTCCAAAAGTGGACGAACAACCAGAACTTTCAGCCCGAGTTTACAGCTGCTGAAAACGAAGAAGAAGTAAGAGGAGAGAAACTGTCATCTTGCCACTTTAAACATTTTGAGACAACAGTATAGGAAGCCTTTTCTATTTCAGTTGTCTTTTACCAGGGGAACGCTAAATGGCTATAGGGGTTTCAGCCCGTCTCACACTTTGTGAGACTCAGTATCTGATTTTCAGTGAGGAAACGAATATGTATTTATTCTAAATGCAAATACAATAACATTGACATTATAGAACCTGTTAAACGTTTGTGAGTTGTCAATACATGCAAATTTCCCGTTGCAGTAAAAACCCATTAAACATACAAGAAAAATGGTACACAGTACAGTATCTAGACTGTTGTGTTTTATTTTTCCACATTTCAATTCAACCTGCAGTCGGGAGCCACTGCAACTCAGTGACTGCACTTTACCTACCCGCCCCAGGGTGTTTGGTTCTAATCCGCATGAAGTGAATCTTTACCACTTGACCTTGGCTCCCAGGGTGACCCAGTTTCAAATGGGTCTCAGGAAATGTGATGGACAATAAAGGCTACAGGCGTTATGTTGACCACATCATGCATTGAACGCAGATTGGTCTATCAAATTATGTTTTGCCTCCAATTTCCGATGCGCTGCTAGCATAAACACGATCTTTTATTTGTACTCTCTCAGGAAGAGCTATTAGATACTTTATACTTTGAAATTTAATACTCTTACACTTAGTCATTATTTTAAATTATTTTCTGAGTAGTATTTTTTAAATTTTTATTTTGGTAGTAATTCCCTGAGTTACGAAATTAATATTTTCTTGAAAATAATGATCATCTTCATGTAGCAGGTCCTTAGAAAAACTCGGTCTCTCGCCAGATCTTCCGTCTCATGTACTTTCCTACCCAAGGTGTCACTTATGTCCATCATGCCCATTGCTACTGTTGTTTACAATCTGCCTTGGCTCTTGATATGGCCAAAATATTTTCCGAGACAAGACGCTGTTTACAAGCCTAACGTTCTTGATGTTGAGACCTTTAATACGCCAGTATTTGTTGTCCAGCACTGGAGTAGAGAGCCTTCACCAGCTGACGCCAACTCGTCATATCCCTTGCTATGGCATGCAGCTAATACCATGTTCTAAACATCTGTTCGACTTCAGCCTCTGGCTCCCTTCTACAGATTTTCATTTTGTGGGTCTGCCTTTATTTCTATGCCCTTGTGGGTTCCAGCATGAAGCCCTCCGAGTTATATTGTTATCCGGTTTTCTCAAAGTGTATCATATTCAACGCATTTTCTTCAGTTCTTGATTTACTGGAATTTGTTAAGTTCTCTTCCAAACCTCCACATTAGTCAATCTATAATTCCATTTAATTTCTTATTTTCTTTTCCGTCCGACCACCAGCTGATGAATACTTGTCGTTTATTAGTAACTGTTGTAGTTGTTCTCCATGTTTCCGCCCTATACAGCATGACTAAACTTACATCATATTTAAGAATTTTCAGTTTATTCAAGTCTATCAAAAAACCTTCTTCTTTCTCTGAGGAGCGACAGAGTATTACGAAGAATCTTTGGACCAGTCAAAAATGTAAACAGCGTGGAAAAGAGAGTGAAAAGATACAACGAAATTCATAATCTGTTTAAATCAACACTTACCACTGGCATCATGAGAACTAATAGGTTGAAATGGCTAGGGCATGCAGAGAGAATGTCAGATGACAGTGAGGTAAAAACTGTATACACAAGGGACATGAATGGTCGTAGACCACGAGGCAGATCAAGAAGACGATGGGGAGATAATGTCCTAAGAGACCTGCAAACACTTGGTGTTACCTAATGGAAAGAAAAGGCCAACCAGAGAGATGAGTGGAGGCGGATGATATCTGCAGCAATGAACATCAAGGGCTCGGAATGCCGAAGAAGAAGTAGTTTAGGATTAGTTTAATTCCCTCTGGCTTCTACAGATATCTGAATGCTACAGAAAACGCCTCTTGCAGGCTTAATATATATATATATATATATATATATATATATATATATATATATATATATATATATATATATAACGCCTCTTGCAGGCTTTATGTATATATATATATATATATATATATATATATATATATATATATATATATATATATCCCAGTTCCCCCATTTGTATCTATATTACTGTCCAAACAGGTTTATGATTACGCATATTTGTGTGGGAAATGGCCAGGCGAAAAAGCATTACTGTTTGCCTGTGTAATTTTAAAGATATTGGAAAACGTTAAATGGGAGGTATATAAACATAAGAAAAAATCAAAGTATGTCTATACTACCGCTGGGGTTTCCCTAAAAGGTAAAAGAAGATGACAATACACCTGACAAGAAACGGACAGAGAATCATTAAACAGGTACCTAAAAAAAGAAACAGATGGTATGGGAAAAACAAGGACTTCCAAGAGAAACCTAGGAACGAGCGATCATGAGAGGGGCTATTGGCACCGGACTGGATTCTACCCATGATATGGATATTACAACAGATTAAAATGGAATGGAGGTATAGACTGCGGACATCTGTGATAAAAATGTTTAGCAAGCTGATAATTATATAAATATATAATAGAATCACCCAGCCTACATGTCATAATCTCCAAATATTTCAAACATAACACTCCACACAGTCAAGGCTATCAAAAACCCTGCCTCTTACTTCGCGGAGCGACTCTTTAAGAGCATGAAGGGAGCTGGTACAAATGACAGAACTATGGTCAGAGCTATAGTATCTCGTAGTGAGGTGAGTCGGTAGACACATGTGTTACATCTTTAAGTAAGCTGTTGTGTTTCGTAGATAATCTACCAAGCAAAAAAGATGACATGCATACACACACATATACATACAAATACATACATACATGCATACATACATACATACATACATACATTCATACATTCATACATACATACATACATACATACATACATACATACATACATACATACATACATACATACATACATACATACATACATACATACATACATACATACATACATACATACATACATACATACATACATACATACATACATACATACATACATACATACATACATACATACATACATACATACATACATACATACATACATACATACATACATACATACATACATACATACATACATACATACATACATACATACATACATACATACATACATACATACATACATACATACATACATACATACATACATACATACATACATACATACATACATACATACATACATACATACATACATACATACATACATACATACATACATACATACATACATACATACATACATACATACATACATACATACATACATACATACATACATACATACATACATACATACATACATACATACATACATACATACATACATACATACATACATACATACATACATACATACATACATACATACATACATACATACATACATACATACATACATACATACATACATACATACATACATACATACATACATACATACATACATACATACATACATACGTACGTACGTACGTACGTACATACATACATACATACATACATACATACATACATACATACATACATACATACATACATACATACATACATACATACATACATACATACATACATACATACATACATATATACATATATACACACACTTACATACATACATACATACATGCATACATACATACATACACATACATACATACATCCATACATCCATACATCCATACATCCATACATACATACATACATACACACATACATACGTACGTACGTACGTACATACATACATACATACATACATACATACATACATACATACATACATACATACATACATACATACATACATACATACATACATACATACATACATACATACATACATACATACATACATACATACATACATACATACATACATACATACATACATACATACATACATACATACATACATACATACATACATACATACATACATACATACATACATACATACATACATACATACATACATACATACATACATACATACATACATACATACATACATACATACATACATACATACATACATACATACATACATACATACATACATACATACATACATACATACATACATACATACATACATACATACATACATACATACATACATACATACATACATACATACATACATACATACATACATACATACATACATACATACATACATACATACATACATACATACATACATACATACATACATACATACATACATACATACATACATACATACATACATACATACATACATACATACATACATACATACATACATACATACATACATACATACATACATACATACATACATACATACATACATACATACATACATACATACATACATACATACATACATACATACATACATACATACATACATACATACATACATACATACATACATACATACATACATACATACATACATACATACATACATACATACATACATACATACATACATACATACTACATACATACATACATACATACATACATACATACATACATACATACATACATACATACATACATACATACATACATACATACATACATACATACATACATACATTCATACATACATACATACATACATACATACATACATACATACATACATACATACATACATACATACATACATACATACAGACACACAGACACACACACACACACACGCACGCACGCACGCACACACACACACACATACATACATACATGCGCAAAATGCGGTATAAATACACAGAATAAACGTGCACACACGACACAAATACACCACACTGATCAACAAAAGTAACTTACCAGGCAAAGATTTGGCGTTCTGGTTTATTCCGCACGTGCAGGAATAATTTACGTATTTATAAAAATTGAAACTGACTCTTGTAAGAATCTAATGCATATGCGAGAAACACTAGTAGGAAATCGATATAGTGAATATCATTATCTGTTCGAGTTAACCATAAAAGGTAAAGTTACTCATGCCATTTTCGAATTTTATTTTGTCTTGTTCTTCTGTCGCTTCTTCCGAAGATGTAATTGCGAAGTGAACATTTACAGCATGCTGTAATATGTGCGTTTTTCGGCGGACACATCCGACTTCTGCAGGCTTACGTTGTGGTCATCTTTGTTTTCTATGTCACATGTGGTGCCCCACTTCACGCCGGTCCAGAGAAGCTACGTGATGCGGGTCAGCCCCACAGGTTTATTCTATAAGTGCTAATATTTATTTGTCTTGTTTTCTATTTATGACTTCTTAGTGTATCATTTTCGGGTTATGGTACTAGTTCCAATACTGATGGTACCGGTCACAATCTGGTTATAGGTCCGTCTCGCCTTCCCGCTGAGTGTAGCGAGTACCCAAACCCTCTGTTTACTCTCAAGTGCCACATTCTCTCCAGGCCATAATAATCTTGTTTCTCCACTGATTCAGTTACTTGTTCCCAAATAGCCTTGACAAAATCTCCGCTGTCATGCATCAGTGCACCACCCAGTGGTGCAGATCCAGCCAATATGTCTGCCTGTTCTTTACTCACCACGCCGCATAACCAGGAGAAAAGATCCAAAGTATGCTCACTACCCGTGATCTTTCCAGTGAAGCTTGCCACTCTGCTCGATGCATCCCTGTCTTAACCTTTCTCAGCATACTTTCAGAGTCTGTTACAATTACATTTGTATGCATTTTGTTCTCTAGCCACCGGAGAGCTGTAGTTGCCGCCTTTACCTCCATTCTCATGCTAGACCTTGTGGTTTCGTGTGCTGGGCTGTCCTGTACTAAAAATTTTCCATTGGCTTTCGTTACGAACCCCGGGCACTTCTCTTTTCTCTCACCACCGAACCAACTGTATAGATAATCAGATCACCTGGGCGTGAATTGTCGTAAATCAACTGTTAGACTTCATCCTCCGTAGCACCCGCTGACCACTCTCTGCACTCCCGACCCAATGTGATCATAACCCTACACAGGTCAGACTTGCCCTCTGATACTTTGACCCACTCCTCCGCTAGCCTAATATTCTCCAGCATGCAAACTTGACTCATTGTGTCTTCTGCTTGAGCCATCCACGATTTTCCCCTTTTCAGCCTCTTTGACCCTTGCCTGCAGCCACAGCTTAAAAAAGAGGGTGTTCTTTGTCTGCAGCTACTCTGAGATATGACTTAGCCAGCAGCACCTTTAGTCTATCCGCAATAGTCGGCAATGCAAGGATGTATCGCATGTATATAATAGGGGTGTCTCTTGTACATCCCAGTGTCACCCGCATAGCTTCATTTTGTATGCACTCCACTTTCTCAAGCTGACTCTTCGAGACAGTGAGTAACCCCAATCCATAATTAATTAGTGAGATGATTAAGTGCTGGTGAAGTGTGAACAGCATTCTCTGCTCCATGTCCATTGCTGGCATAATCTTAAGTGCATTAATACCTTTTTGAGCCGTTGTCACCACTTCCTCTATGTGATGCTTGAAAGACAAACTTCTGTCAAACGTGATTCCCAGGTATCGCAGTCTGCTGTCTCTTTTGATGTCCTCTGCAATTTATTTTGAGGCTTGGAACATCAGCTCTAACAATCCTATTGTCCAAAGAACCCTACAGGACAGTTGCCTTTTCTGGGTTGATTACAGCACTCATCTCTGTACACCAGTCGATCACCTTATGTAATGTCGCCTGTAATTCTTGAGGTAATTGATTACGACCACTATCTTTCGTTTATACGAGAATATCACCTGCAAATGTCAATATTCTACTGACTCCGGGTGTTTCCAGGTCCCCAATCTTGCTCGTAAAATCGTTGTAAAGTATTCGTGATATTGCAGATTCCTGTGGTAGTCCTGGAGCTTTTATACTTGGTTCAGAAGTCCATGAACCCAGGCGGAGAGCTACCCGGCGAGTATACAAAACAGCTGCTATTCAATTCATCAACCTAGGACAGACTTCCTTCTCTATTAGCGCCTTCATCAAGATACTGTATCTGACTCTGTTGTAATCATCTTCTAAATCAAGTGCCGCTGCAACTGTTTCCTGTCTGTTTTAGAAACCTTGGAAAGCGTCAAAAATGGCTGCTTTAGACCTGTGTCCTTGCCTGGCCGGTAACTTCCTGAACCTCCTGTAAGGAGATTTCTCTGTTCCAAAAACTCTTGTAGCTTACCCGCCGCGATCTTCTCCAGCACTTAACCAAAGGTGTTTTGTAAATTTATGATCCTAAAGCCACTAAGTGTTGAATGATCCTTGCCAGGCTAAGAAGTGGAATCAGGTAGCTGTGCATCCACTCTTCTGAGACTGAAGCTGTCCTAATGCTCTGGTTAAAACAAGCAGTCATCTCCACAATGTCTGCATCCCTCATGTCTTTCATGTGGGAATATTTAATCCTGTCAGGCCCGGGTGCAGTGTCCTTCGCCTTTTCAAAACATTTTTTACATCTTGCACCTGTTTGATGTCTACATAATGTTTGTTCCTTAAGGTGACTGCTAGATCTACTCTCACTTTATCTCTGTTATCCTCATCATTGTGGTCTGTCTGTGAAATAAAACTCTTCAGGAAAGCCTCCCTCTTCTGTTTGTGGTTAAGAGCATACCATCATCTCTATGAATTGTTCCCACTACCTTGGGCCAATCTTTCTTGATGCAACCCCCAGAACTTTCCCAGATTCTTGTAACCCCCTATCTCAGCAATGCAATGCTCCCATTTTGCTTTTTTTTTGGGCCTCTTCAGCACAGTGCTTGGAAAACTATCCTATCTTTCTGATTCCGTTCTGCGCACTCTAATTCTTCCTGTGAGCCTAGGGCTGTCTGTCGCACTTTACGCCTAACTGCAGCTATCTTTAACTTCCATGCCGGTTCAACCTCTGATGCCCACAGTGGAGGCTGCACAAACGTAGATTTGCCGGTTCTCTTACATGCCCTCTGTCAGAGACGTTTAAGAAGGGTGTTTGTCCGCTTATACTTGAAAGGCCTATGAGCTTTTGAAACCTTGACTTTACTGGATTTGGAGATCAATACTGAACGTGGCAGATGGTCACTTCCATGATCGCCCAGGACAGTCCGTTTGGTGTCCAGTATCGCTGACTGTGTAACCAAAGCCAGGTTGTCTTTATTCAGTGCTTTTCATACATAACCTTTTTGTCTGCCATGTTTTTTTTTTCTTGAACCTGTTTCTTGAGTGGAATAGGAAGAAATTGACAGGGAATTCCAGAGCATCTCTCTGTTCAATCAGAGTAAACTGATCCCATTTCTAGTGTCAGCTGTCTTCACAATCCAGTCCATATTCAGTATGGATAATGCAAGATAACGCACTGTTGAATGCAACATTTACATTGCATTCATGACATAGATGGTATTTAGAGTATTGCTGCAATTCATTCACCTACATTAGAGTCCACAAGACGACAACTACTGGGTTTGTACGGAAGAGCAAAGACTCGTGACAAAACATCATAACTAAGCCAGTAAGAAATATAACTAGTATATAATAGATTCGCACAGGTTGCCTTGTAGCTAACAACACGACCTAACACAGTTGTAATAGACCACTAGCAGCTGTCCGTAACTAGCTTAGGTCAACCTGATTTATTAATGGGCGCAAACATCACGGTAATAAAATTGATGATCAATGGAAAATTAACATTGCCTGCTAATTTGTGACAAGTACACGCATTGGCAGTCTCTAAAGGTGACACCGAATCTTACATGATGGGAGTCCATAGCAAATACACTTCCAACTATGTGCTCACTCCTGGAGTCATAGAGCAGAGAAGGCTTTTCACACTATATCAGCACCTGATCCTGTCAGTGGTTGATTATGGCCTGAGACTGCTTACGGTCTAAGAGTCAGATGGACAAACTAGAGCGCATTCAGAACGCGGCTATGCGGGCCATTCTGGGTTGCACCAGAGACACCCCAGTGGTGTGTGCGCCATATATTCTTGGTTTGCCGACGGTTGCAGGTAGGCACAATGTGCTGCAGGCGAAGTCATATATCAGAGTAGCTGCAGACACAGACCACCCTTTGCACGAAGCTCTGGGTGCAGTTAAGGATCAACGTCTGATGAAAGGGAGGTCATGGATGGCTCAGGCAAAAGACACAATCAGACAGGCTTGCATCCTTGAGAACATTAGGCGAGGAGAGGGCTGGGTCAAAGTGCCACCAGACTTGTGTAGGGTCATAATCACGCTGAGCCGGGAATGCAGAGACTGGCCAGCAGGTGCCACAGAGGTGGAAATTCAGCAATTAATTCAAGATAATGCTCGCTCAGAAGATTTGATCATTTGCACAGACGGTTCAGTGTCAAGAGGCAAAAGAAGTGCATGGGGTTTCTTACCAAAAGTTAATGGTCGACGTTTGGTACAGGAGGGGCTAGCATATGATAACACAACATCCAGCTTGAGAATTGAGGTGGGGGCGGTCACTGCAGCTTTTCATCGGCTAAAGAACACGATACACACATATCGTGATTGTAACTGACTCAGAAAGTATGTTGAGGAAGATCAGAACAGGTATGCTTCGTGCAAAGTGGCATGCCTCGCTGCGGAGGACACGGGTGAGAAGAATTGTCTGGATTTTTTCAACAGGGAATGCCGGTGTGTTGAAAAATGAACAGGCGGACAGACTGGCTGGCTCTGCACAGCTAGGTGGAATACTGATGCATGATAAAGCAAACGTGGTTAGTGCCTTGTGGGAGAGCCTGTACAGTTCGCAGGAGCAGATGGATCACCACGATGTGGTGAGATTGATGCAGTTGGGGGTGACGAGAGGTTCTGGCAAATGCTCGAGGCTTAGAGGAAAGGCATCAGAATGCTACTTGCACCATTAGTATCGGAACTCTTCGCTGGCTGCTGAAGTTGGGGACGGAGCTTTTATGCGAATGCCCCGGGTGCTGTGATATCGGTTCTTGAATCAAATCAAATGAAATCTCCAGTAGAGTTTTTAAAATAGCGTTGTCATGTTTGGGAGACACAAGTTGGAATTCTTGGTAGTTTGTGGATTCTTTTACACACAAATCATAATCTGCACAATCTCCTCAGACTCAAATACCTGCCCCCTTCCCTTTCCCATCCCTCCACCCCCTACCCCTTTCTGCACCCTATTTGCCAACACCGCAATTGAACTAAATATCGTGGTAAACATCTAATTTGTACTAAACAGAAACAGAAAAAAGATCAGGAAGACGGGTATGATCCTTTCCTTAAAGCGACTGTAAGTGAACAATTTAAAACTGGTGCAGTGTAATCGGTGTAATACTAAAACCATATGCGACCACACGTCAAAATATCGCTGTGGTAGGATTCATCCACAAAACGTTTACGTTAAATCTTATTAACACGAATTCCAAGGAGCTAAGAAAACATAAGTTTGTTTGAAACATTCGTGAAAATGTACTTGCTGGTAAGAACAAGCACATATGTAACACAAATATACCTTCTATTTTTAGGTTGACATGGCTGCTATCAAAGAGGAATTTCAGAAAGCCTATGGTAAATCTGTGGCCGAATTTATTAGAGGAGATACCAGTGGGGACTACAGAAAAATCCTTGTGGCCATTGTCAAAGAATAAGTAAAGAGAGAGAAAGAGAGAGAGAAAGTGTGTGAGAGAGAATGTGAGAGAGAGAGAGTGTGAGAGAGAGAGTGTGAGAGAGAGTGTGTGTGTGTGTGTGAGAGAGAGAGAGAGAGAGAGAGAGAGAGAGAGAGAGAGAGAGAGAAAGCATTGTCACCGTTTTATTAGTTCTAAATATTTAAAGCACCGTCTCACTGTTTAGAATAATCTCACGATAATTTTTTTGTGTGACGTAAGAATATTTTTTTAAATATTTCTCCATGTTTAGCTATTAAAAAAAAAAAAAAATTTCACAATGTATTAATGTTTTTATTATTAAATCACAAGTTTTCGGTAGAAACTATATAAAGGCCTTATCTTTTTAGCTACCGTTAAAATTAAATACATGTTAATTTGTCTGTGGTAGTCATCAACATTCTGAGCTGAAATGTTATAGAAACATTCTCAGAGCACCATGGACAAAGTAGCAAAGAAATATTGACATCCTAAACAATTGTTAACACCAAAGAAACAAATTGGTTTGTCAATAGCTTATTGTCTCGGAAACTGAAATACTTTGACCATATCAGCGTTATGGTGGGTTGGAAAGAGCAGCAGTGGAGGGCATGGTAACAGGAAAGCGATGCAGAGGCCGACCAGCACTGAGATGGACACAGACTTTAGTAGAAACTTTGGGCGACAAAGACAACAGATGCCGAATTCTTTTCAGAATAGTACCCAGTTTGTATTACAGGTACTAAACACAATGGAACGACATTTTTAAATATTTGATCTAAAATAACCTGTGTCTTTTAAAACACACACACACACACACACACACACACACACACACACACACACACATGTATATATAAACCGTTTTATCTTACATGTGATCAGTCTTGAAATTCCTTGTTTATTACATGACTGTTGTACCGTTTTTCACTCATTTTGCAAAGAAGATGTGTCGGCTTTCCTTTGGTGCAGTCAATGTCCTGGAAACAAAAACAATGATCTCATCAGTGTATTCATTGTTGAAGTCCTTCAAATAAACCCTAACATTGTTAAGCTGAGAGAAAACTCTTTCTGCAGCTGTAGAGGAATGAGATAATGCTAAAAGACTAAACATTTATTTTTGAAACACATGGGAAGCGATTTTAATCTCTGAATGTTTCTTCTGAAATTGTAAACCAGAATGTATTTGGTATTTTTTCCCCCTAGAATGAGGTAGCTGATCATGCACACTTAGTTCCTTCCTTCCATTCTTTATTGTTTCTTCTTTAACAAGGCTTGGAAATCTCATGACCAATGGCAAAACTGATGTCGATCTACGTTCAGTGGGTCCAGCGTTAGATTCCCAATTTAAAATGTTGAAGCGAAATTTCTAAAACGTACCAAAATGTCCAAAAGTAAAGTTTT